TCGAATCTGATAAGTAAGATTAATCCGGAAGCGACGACAAAATCCGTGTTCGAATCCTTATTCTTGCAATGAAAAATAATGAAGAAAAGAAAAGAGAAAAACGTATGAAAAGATGAAGGGTAGGGTTCTGTGTTCTTGCGTCAATGAGCAGTCCTTCTGATCTCTTCTCGAGTTCGTATTTATAGCAGCACCAGGTCGCGGCGCGGAGAAGGCTCACGTGCGCGACAGGACGATCCTTCACGGCGTGGAGGGGCGGCGCGGCGCGGCTGTAGGACTCATCACGGCGTGGCATGGCGTCGCGGCGCGGAGGAGGGGTCTCTCACGGCGCGGGGGATGTGCAGCGGCGCGGCAATTGCTGGTGGCACGGCGCGACGAGGTTCGCGGCGCGGGAAGGCAGAAGTCTGGAGCCTCTGTTGCTTTGTCGCGGCGCGGAGCTCTCGTGAAGGCTGATGCCACGGCGCGGAACTCCTCACGGCGCGGCGGCTGGGCATGGTCTAAGTTGTACAACTTCGTGTTCTAGGCTCGTATACGCTCATATGATCTCGGAATTCGGTTCCGATTTTTTTGGGGTACTCCCAACGAAATGATATCTTTAACCATATTCACCCGGTCTATCCATCATGAAAAACAAATCCTTCTGAATTTAATAACCTGCACACCAACGACGACAACCAACCGGAAAAACGACCGAAAAACGAACGAAAGCACCTAAATAACACGAAATAAAGAAAACAAGGAACAAAACACAAAATAAACTAAAAGCAAATGAAAAGACTCAAAATGGGGGAAAAAGAAATAGAAAATAACAACGAAAAACGTAACAAAAATGGGACAAACAATTTGTTCCTTGGAATTTTTTAAGCAAGCAAATTTAGATGATACCCACTCCATCCACTCAAACTTAGCCTTCTCTACAATTTGGAAATCATGGATCCAATCCCTCTTGTATAACCACTTGTTCCTGGCTTTCCACAAGTGCCAGAGCAAAAATGCAGAAAGCCCTAATCTCTCTTCTTTCATCACCAAGTGGTTAGCACAACACACCTTAACCCACCAATTCTGAAACACTGTGAAATTAGCATGTTGAGAACACCAACTAATCCCAAACAATTTCCAACAGTTTCTAGCTTTTTGGCAGTTAAATAAAATATGGTTTAGGTCCTTATCTTGCTCTCCACATATAGCACATATGGAGTCAACATACATACCTCTCTTCAAAAGTTGATCAGAAGAGCTCAAATATCCAAACAGCATCTCCAAAGAAAGTTTTTTATCTTATGCTTAATCCCCAATTGCCATGTTGTTCTCCACATCTTGGTAATGAGTGCAAGATCCATGCTAGAACTGGCTATCTTCTGCATCTTTGTTTTTTGTTGCATGATGAACTTATATACTTCCTTAACTGAGAACTGGCCTTTAGTATGCCAGTGCCACACCAATCTAACTGGACCAGTCACAGCTGAGAGAGGGATATTAAGAATATCCCCTGCAGTATCATGATAAAAAATGTGATAAATAAGCTCACAATTCCACTCTCTACTACCCACTCTCATCAACTCACTCACCTTATCCACCCTAAATCTATCCTCAGGGCAATGACACTCAGGCTTAAAGTTAGGGCAATTAGGAATGCAAGGAGAATCCCATATAGAAGTAGACACACCATCCCCAACTCTAAACCTAGTACCCCCTGCAAGAACTTCCTAACACTCAATAACATTTCCAAACCCAAGAATCCCGAGGCTTGGAAGAAATAGAAAACAAGCTGCCCTGCAAAAATATTTACCTTAATCACTCTACTCACAAGAAGATTTGGTTGGGTAATAAATCTCCAAAGCTGTTTCACTAAAAGAGCATCATTAAAGGCAATGAGATCCTTAAAACCCAAACCACCCTTATCTTTTTCTCTCACCAATTTATCCCACCCC